GGAAGGACATTAAATATTTTGGTTCCCATACTAATCACCCATCTCTTGCTATGCTCAGTATTACAAAATTGTACATACAAATTGTGTTTATGAATAGTGTTATAGCCATGAACACCAGAATACTGGGTGGTATAAATCTTATTTTTTATCATAAAACATAGGATCTCAAAAATATATAAAGAAGTAACAGTTAAAATCTTTAATTCACGAAAGAAATTTCTACAGGAAACTTTATTTTTATCACCTTTTATCACCCTTACACATTTTTTCTGCAGTTTAAATAGAGTTTCAGAGTCCTTTTGTACCCCTCCCCAAAAAATAATAGCGTATTTCAACACGGGCTCAAATTTTGCAAGATACACACTTCTTAAAACAGTTTGGCTCACTGAGTCCCATAGGGATTTTATCAAATAGGTAGTCTTGCTAAGTTTTTGACACATGTTGGGTGTGGGTTGCCCAACTTAAATCTTCAGTAATCCAAATACCCAAAAATTTTACATCCACTGAATAACCCACCTCCTTATTATTTAAATAAAAATAGTTCCACACATTCATAACGTAAGAATTAGGTGGAAGTGAGTAGTTAAGTTCCCTCCTATCCAGTGGGTATCAGGGACCCTTTCCATAGGTTAAAGGGGCTAGGGTGTGAAGCTGACCACTCACCACTATCTAGTGCCAAGGTTAAGAAAGCATGGAACTCTACTCACACCATAGTATCCATAACATGATGCTTAATTAAGCACAAGAACAACTTTGATTTTTATTTTAGGGATATTAGGAAACAAATTTGACTCTGTTCTTTAATCATTTTTATTAACAGTTTCACAGACCAATTTGGCTATTTGCATGTCTGCATGAAACAACTTGGTCCTGGTTTTTGATTAAATATGATCTGGGATACGTACACTAAAACTTGTTATGTAAATTGAAGTTTGAGGGACGTTGGTGATCAGTGGTAGCAACAGATCAAGATGAATGCTTTGCTGCCACATTTGAACTCTGAAACAATTTCTGTGAGTCTGATGAAATTTTGTTTGGTTGGCACACACAGAGAGTTTTCAGGCAGATAAAACTGTGTTCCATAATGTTGCCAAATGTAAAGATGATGAGTGTGCTCATTATATGCTCTTCCAGTCTTAGTTAAAGTCATTTAATGACAGTATAGCAAACATTTAAGGTTATGCATTTGGACCTTGTCCATTATCCTGGATCTTTAAACCCAAAACATTTCTGAAATTGGTTTTTTCTTTTCTTTTTTGGTGAGTTACTTTGTGTTGCTCTCAGTATTGAGACTATGTTGGATGTTAGGATGGTTGTTGAATGATGAATTTGAAAGAATTTGGAAGGAAGCAGTTATAGTCTAATCGAGGTATTGTCCTGAAATTTACCTTGAGGGACTGAGGTATAAAATGAAAAACCTGGGTTGGGGTGACAAGTACCCCAGCCAAGATTTGAACTAAACACCTACTTCCTGCCATATCCTTTCCAACTGATCCATTATCAGTCATCATTCAACCCTGTATGGTGTTGATGTTGACCACATCATTAAATAGATCACAAAAGTGAAGAATTTGCAAATGTTATTTTCTCCTTCTCGGTATTAGGGTGGACCAGCTTTGACCTTGATGTGGGATCCAGTATTTCATTAATTGCATTACATTACTATTATCTGGTCTTGGTAGCAATAAAGTGTGAATGTTTACTGTTCCCCAGCAGGCTTAAGTTTGAGTAACTCGGTGGAGGCAGTTCATTTTGATGTTCCACTGTTCTCGCCCAGAGAGGAGCTTAGTTAATTAATGCAGAAACATTAGTTTCTTGGGTCTTGTAAACTTTCCAGGGAAAGACATCAAAAGAGGGAAAAGATCAAAGAGTCTTCGGGAACTGAGCTGCTATAGCGGAACAAGCAAAGGTACTGACATTGTTAAGCACAAGTAATCACAGTCTTCATGTATGGGAGTTTGAATCCACACTAACGGACACTAGACAGCCATAGAGCAATTAACTCTGTAGCAAATAATGAGGACACATGAAAATTACTCAGTAGCTGATGCACTGTTTAAGTTAATTGTAAAATTGTGACTTTTTTTTTTTAGTTCTTTTTTTTTCTTCTTTTCATTTCAGAAGTTTGTATAATTGTACAGGTCCAGATAAAAGTACAGAGTAATGTCTTGACATAAAAGTAAAATATGGCAGTGAGAACTGAACACATTTTGGAAATAAATTTAGCTAGAGCTTTTAGTTGACATATGGCTGTACTACTTCCTCTAAAGGAGAAGAAAAAGACATTTCAGTAAAGCAGTTCTCTGTGTCATTCTGATGTTGGGGGCAGATTCTATTTTGTCCCAAGTTTACTTCAATTAGAGATGTTGTTTCTTGTGGAAGTTCCCCTAACTTAGATGGCCCTCTTCCATCTTCTTGTTTCTGGTTAAAAAGCACAATTTTCCAAAAGCTGTGTCAGCTTCAGTTATCAGGTAAAAATTTCTGGCCAGTGGATAGAGATTAGCTCCATCTAATGGACCCATGGACAGAGTCAGATTCATATTTTTACCTGGCAGTGGAAACAGTGACATTCTGAAATGTGTTTCATTAACCAAAAATGAGTGTATGTGTCACTTTAATAACACAACTTTGGTCAAAATTCTCTTTCTTTAATATTCTTATAATTTCATAACTTTATAAAGATAAGTACATTTCAGTGATGTGTGTGTGTGCACGAGGAGACCTCTTGCTGCTGTAATTTGGGTTTCATATAATATTCTTGAGTGGTTTGAAGATATGGAATTTGTTTGTGCCATTTTTAATTTTCTGAATGGTGTGGTGTGACAGTATCTGGTAATGAGGCCAGCAGTTTAACAGATTGACACAGATATCTGAAATACTGATTCTGCACTAATGTTTCTCCTTAGTGTAAAATGAATTAGTGGTTAAGGAATGACAATTGTAACTTGTACACTGTTGTATTTTGTGCATGATTGTACTGCATGTAGTGGGCATGGTTTATGTTTGCAATTAACATAATGTCTTGTTTGCTTGTATGACTTCATGTTGGTTTTATCTTTGCACATTTTTGCACCTATTAACCAGTCAGTAAATGATAGAAGTTACTGTGTGTAGTCTTGCACTAAGGTAAAAATAAGTACACACTGGTTGTATTGGTGTAATTATATTATGAAGTGTCAATATTGATTATATGGTAATGTCTGTTGGCTTCCCAGTGACATGATTCATTTCATAATGTTTTTTAGATACTGCTCTTACAGGAATATTGAATAAGTGGTAAATCTGTGCTCCTAAATTGTTGTTAATTCTGAATATACTGATTTTGATTGTCCACAAATAACAACTGAGATCATTGACTGTTTATGCCTGTCTTATTTTGGTTCAAGGAAGAAAACATTTTGTAATATTTATAACATGTTAAGTTATCACCTGCACCAGTACAGAACAGAAGTCCATTTGTATTGTCATCAGGGAATGATATGTATGCTGGGTGAGTGCTGTTCATCATGAAGATTACTGTCTTGTGGTCTGTCACACTGTGTAGTCTGGTAGAAGCTTAGCTACTGTTTTGGAGGAACCTTTTAACTTCATCTTCAGGATGGGGAATGATGGAGGCAGCAGGTTCTTCCAAAACACCAATAAATATCTACCCGACTGCATGGCGTCACTTCATAGTCACTGGCATGAGAACCCCAGGTCTCATGGTCTGTCACCTATATGCATCATCAAGTCCTCACCTTACAAGAACAGTCATTGATTAAATGCCATGAAGACAGAGGTAGAGAAAGTCTCTGAAACTGACTCCTCCCTAAAATGTGTGTGGCTGTTTGTCCAAGAAGATTGATTACATAACTTCTAGTTGCTATGAAATCTTCTGGTGTTACTTTCATAACTTTGTAGATTGAATCTGGTTGTCGTTCATTCTGTGCAAGTGCCTTGTGACTACGAAGGACTTGTATGAGGATGCTGTACTTACCATAGTACTGCTTTCTTACAGGGAACTATTCTTAGTAGCTTAGGATCAAGACATTACATTAGCATGGACAGTTGGAAACCAAGGCTTAATCCTTAGCAGACATTTGGGTGGGGGGTTCTCAAAAATTGTATGGTCTGTTTTTGTCCTGATGTTAGTGCTTGTTGCAGTATAGCTCTTTGTAGTGTGCCGATGACTTATATTTCAGCTGCACAGATTAAACCATGGTTGGTCTCACAGGACTAAAATATGGAAGATTTTAAGATTACAGGCTTCTGGGATATGACGCCATATAGCATGGTAGATATGTACCAGTGATTTTGAGGAATATACTAGCTCTGTTTTCAGGGTCAGTGAAGCTGATGGCAGCAAGAAAGTGTCAGGATAATATTAAAATGGATCTTAGGGATGCATAGAATGTGAGCTGAATTGATTAAGGTAAAGGTTAGGGTCCTTCAGTAGGCATTTGCAGTGGTGGTGGTGGTGGTGGTGGTGATGGTGGTATTTGTGCTTGTGATGTTGATGATGATGATGATGATGATTAAGATTAAGAAGAAGAAAAGTTTGAGATTTTGTAACAGGAAGATATTCCTTTATCAATGAAATACACCTTGGCTATACAGGAAAGACTCTTCTTATCAGGGAATTAGTTATGTAGGAAAGATTTTGGTCATCTCGGATGTGATGCTGTGTGTTTTAGAGTCATCTGCTGCCTCCATTCTCAGGGTAGAAGAAGACTACACAGCATCACATCCCAGAAGTCGGTTATTCTAATGTTCACTGATGTGAGAACCCCACTTCTCATGTATTTGTTTAGGCAATTAGTTTGGCTTTTAGGGTCAGAGAAATTTGCCATTATAGCTTATGTACTCTATGACATAGTTCCCGGGATTCTAATTTCCAAATGAATTGAATGTTTGTTTTCTGGAATTTGCAATTGAAAATATGCTTTTCATATTGGCTTTGTGGACTGTGGTGTCTTGAGTGTTACTATGATGTTCTCTGGAGAAATGAAATATGTTTTAACAGTTCTCACAATGGTTCATTTTTAACTCTTGTACAATGAAAAATGTTAAGAAGGCACATACTAGGTTTGTTATGTCTGTCCTTATGTAACAACTTCAGAAAAGATGAACAAAATATCTTGGTTTTTAATGTGAGGGAGGTTCTCCAAAGCCTGTTTGCACATTTCAATTTTAATTAAAATCAGACATACATAATGGACATTTTACTCATATATGTAGATATACATTCATTTCTCTGAGCATCTCAAGTAAATATTGATATGAATGAGATGTTTTAAAAAATGTGTAAAGAAGAATTAAATTCAGATTATTGTTCCCAGCACCATGTGCTTTTCAATATGATAACACAAAAGATACCGAATGTGCAAGAATTGTTATTGCTATAGATATGTTTCCCGACTTGTTGCATGATACTGTATAAACTGTGAGGTTTTATAGTATCGCAGTACACAAAAGAATCATGTATAGTGACTTTAAAAACAGTTGGAGAGGTAGGAATCATAGGGTAGTTTAAAGTAATACTTGAGAATTCATCTGGATGAACTGATAAAAAAAGTCAGTGATGGCAGCACTCTAGTTCGGTATTTGTGACACACTACATTCTAGTGGTCTGCTGCCAAAATTTGACACATATTTGCAGTGGTGTGCAGCCAGAATTGGACATGTTATTACAGTGATGTGATATTGGAATTTGAGAAAACATTGTAGTATTTTGCTGCCAAAATTTGTTACATTGTTGTAGTGATGTGCAGCCATAATTGGACACATTATTTCAGCGATGTACAGCCAAAATTTGACACATTATTGCATTGGTGTTCTGCTAGAATTTGAGACGTTGTTGCCACAATTTTAATTACCAGTTCATATGTTAAATTGTCAGTTGCCATTCTTTTATTACCATACATTCCAGATGGAAAACAGGCTTATAATTTCTTCACTGTCACCCCAAGCAGTGTGCTTCCTTGCTTTGAACTCCCTGAGCTGGCCTTGTGTCAGGGCAAATTTTCAATGTATTATGAATTTTTATATGTTGTGGTTAGCCAAATCAGTGCAAACTGGCTCCAGTGCACTTCTGCAGTACTACTGAGCTATCCCTTTTGGTCAAATACATAGGTCATTCAGAAAGTAAAGACCGTTTGGTGATTAAAAAATAAATAAGTGAATAATATTAAAAAATTGTATTTTACATCATTACTACAGACTTGAAACATTTTTCTACATAATCGCCATGAAGATTCTGGCACTTGTATTGTGTGAAGAGTTCCTGTATGCCTGCATCTTATAATCTGCTGCCAGTTCATTGAACCAGTGTTTAACTGTCATCTTCACTTTTTCATTGCTATCCATGTGCGTGCCACCCAAAAACTTCTTCAGGTATGTGAAAAAATGAAAATCAACTTGCAGCCAGGTCTGAATTATAGGGAAGATGAAAAAAAGAAGTCTTAGGCAAACTCAACAAGTAGCGCATATGTGCCAGCGGTCTTCACTCTCTGGATGAACATTGTACATTAAAGAAAAAGAAGTATTTTAAATTCACTGTCTCCTGAGAACCACTGGGAAATACAAATGGGAGAGTACCAAGCTGTAGCACCGAATCCTGTAGTGTTCATTACTGCTAGACTTGTAATAGTTGGGTTAATTAATTTCTGTTGCTGTCTGTCCAACAGTCAGTCTTGAGCGATGGTGTCGGTTGAGGGGGAACTTACTGTTCTACTTCAAGTCTCGAGAACAGTGGTCAGAACCGCTGGGTGTCATCATTTTGGAGCAGTGTTCCATCAAAGTTGACACACCCACTGCAGAGGGTCCATATGGCTTTCGCCTAGGTGAGTAATAGTCTGCAGTTTGAAGAATGGGACACACAAAGAGATCTAAACCTCATTGCTGCTGTATGCATTGAAGTCTGTATGTGTGGGTTATTATGATTTTAGTATTCAGATGATATAGCATCAGATGATAGGGATGATAGATGAATTGGAAAGGATTTGGAAGAAGCAGTCATAGCCTAATTGAGTTACTATCATGGAATTTTCTTGGAGGGACTGAGGAAAACTACAAAAACCTCAGTCATGATATCTTGTGTCCTGGCCGAGATTTGAGCCAAACACCTCTTGAGTACAAATCTGAAATGTTACTTCTGGGCCAGCCTGTTTGGTGTACATGCAATGAATTCTACTTTGGTGATCAGCAGTGCAAAAGTGGAGTTGGTATCCAGTGTTTCAGAGACTGTGCTGCCTTCAGCAGGAGCTGATGTGATGAGTGACACAACTCTCTGTTTTATATGTACTGTCACGTGTTTAGGGGTGACTGTAGACAGAGTTTAGATTGGTGAATGGATTTATTGATCACTTGTACACACCGCTCAGAACTACAAGTAATTACAGCACTATCACTGATTTCCACACTTTAAAAATTACTAGCACACACTAGGTCTTCTCAGTCTTCACTGAATGTTTCCTGGCAATGGTTTCTAACAATGGAGATTCTTCAGCTTCCCACACTCAGGTCTTCTTGTCACAGCTGCCCATACAGAATTCACCTCACTCAACTATAGTGCCATGTTTTCTTAGCCTCCCTTGCAGAGCTTAACTCAACCACCAACCCTCAACTCTCAATTGAACTGGATTGCCCCAGTTGTCTTCTTTATAACTACTTGGGGTGGATCACATTGAAAACACTGTTGCACTATTGTTGTGTGTATGTTTGGTTCTGTATTTACTGAACCATTGTTCAGAAATGGCTGTTTGTTTATTTTCCTGTTGCATAGTAGTTGCTGTAGTTGTTTGTTTCGAGGTCTTTGCCTAGCATTGGGGCTATACACTACAGTATGATGGTTGCCTAGGGATATTAACACTTTTCAGGGCCTTAGGGTTCCATAGACTCCTAAACATAAATGTTAAAAATTAAATCTAGTATTTTCTGAGTTTTCTGAGTTATGCTCCTCTGAAACAGTTTTAATCTTTTATGTTTTTTAAAATAAAAGACTATGAGTATTACCACAAAACAGTGGTATTGTTTGTCTGAAACATCTCTGAGTCTGTGTTGTACCTTGAGTGGGCAACTCTCTGGTTGATAAGTTAATCTCCAGTCAGTGATTTTTGTTCCAATTGTATGTTAAAAATAGGTTGTAATACCTTTGTAATGATTATGATCCTTTTTCATTGTCTGATGATGATGATGATGATGCTCCCTCAAGGATGATTTAGGACACAGTATATGTGTACGGTTCAGTGGTTCTCAGTGAGGGTAATGTAAGGGTGCATAATAAATATATTTCAAAATGGTTTTCATCTGGATAACAATAATTGTTATTTTATATTGCATGTGGCATGGCACTGTAATATTTAAATATACTTTTAGCTGAGAATTAAGGTGTCTGAACATGAATGTTGGAAATCTACTATCTTCTGCCATGCAACATCATCTAGTGTGGTACATTATCATCATACTAATCAATTTTCTATCCCAGACTTTCATTGGAGGAGCCGAGGAAAATCACAAGAAGCCTCAGTCAGGATAGATGTCCTGTCTGAGATTCGAACCATATACTTCCCAAATTCAAGTTCAGAGTGTTACTGCTGGACCAACTTGTTTGGTAGCATTTGAAATTAAATCTTAGATATGATGGTTAAGACTTCTAGCCATGAATCAGAGGAAGTTGGTTTTGCAGACATTTCTTAAAGCATGCACATAACTCAGGCAATTAATGCATGTCTCATCATTGTAATTAGAGAGCTTAGCGTGTGACTGGTGTACAGATAGCCCACAATATGTTGGTGGAAGCTTCAACACATGACAAAGTATTTGTGAACAGTTTATTTCTAGTAAGGTAAGCAACACTTCCAAACATATCATCTTCAGGAATCTCTTGTATGAGGTCATTTTATGAGTAATATAAATTTACAATTTGTATATGTACAGCAGAACAAACACACAAGATATTTGCTGTGTTCTCATCATTGTCCTCTTTTTAGTAATGCAGTCTCATGCATCTTTAATAAAATTTAAGTGCTTTTAGAGCCTTCCTTAAATATAATTTTTCTGCCTGCTAAATGGAGAGCCAATAATGGAAACTTAACCAAACATCAGTGTGACTTAGAGAGGAAGTAGTGACAGGATGACGACAGTGAACATGTAATGTTTGGTGACACAACATGAATGCCTGATCAAGTGGAGAGTAAGAGAGACAGTCTCTTCTATTTATATTACAAAGGTTATGTTTGTAGGTGTGCAAAGGGGGACAGAAGGAAGGCCTTGATGAAGATAGTTGCAAGGTCAGTGAGGCTAGGTATGTAGGTGGAAGGAAGTGGTCATGGCTTAATTGAGTTGCTATGTTGGCATTGTCTTGGAGTGACTGAGCAGAACCACCAGAATCCTCAGTATAGCCATTGTTCTGACTGAAGTTGAAACTGAGTATCTCCTGACTACAGGACTACAGTTTTTCCACTATGACGGCTTGCTTGGTTAATGTGTTTAATACTCATAACTCATTGTTCTGGTTATTTTGAATGATAAATTGGAATGACATGGAAGAAAGAAGTTGTGGCCTATCATGATGTAATGTCTGATGAACCAAGTAAAATCTTGAAGAACATCACCGTAATTGAATTTGGGGTTTTCAAATTATGAAGCAAGCATGTTAACCACTGTACCTTGACATTTAGTCTTTGCGGTTGAAATAGTGTCAATAAATAATGAATTCGTGAGCAAATCAATGTTGCGCTATCTTTGCTTGAACATTTTAATGAACTGTTCTGTTAAGGTTAGTGTTTTCTGGATTGAAAAACTGCACATTGAGGAGCTTCATAACTTGTGCTGTTCACCAAGTATAATTAGAATGATCAAGTCAAGGAGGATGAGATTGGCAGGGCATGTAGCACGAATGGGGAAGGAGAGGAATGCATATAGGATTTTGGTGGGGAAGCTAGAAGGAAAGAGACCACTAAGGAGATGAAAATGTATGTGTGTGGATAATATTAATATGGATCTTAGAGGTATAGGATGGGGTGGTTTGGACTGAATTGATCTGGCTCAAGATAAGGACCAGTGGAGGGCTCTTGTATACATGGTAATGAACCTTTAGGTTCCATAAATTGCTGGGAAGTTCTTGAGTTGCTACACAGTTGGTGGCTTCTCAAGAAGGTTTCAGCTCCATGAAGTTAGTTAGTGTTCTTGGATATCACATCGTGTAGTCTGGTAGGTAAGTACCAAGGCTTCATTTACCATGAAGTTCGAAGCATCAGGTTCTTCTGTGTTATGTTGGTAGTGTTTGAAGGTGGCCTGAGTCAGCACCTTGCAGCATATTCAGAAGGGGAACGGGATGCATGGCTGCAAGCCATCCAGCTGGCAAGCTATGACTGCATGCGCTCACAGCTCCTGGTATTGCAGCAGAGGATGGAGCTGCATCGGGGGCAGGATCCAGACCTGGATGTCCACATGTGGAGGATACGAAGGGGCCACACAGTAGGTATGTCTGGCGGAGTAATTTGTAATGTAAACCATTTCTATGCTGAGGTTATTATTTTTGTTCATAGCTAATTGAGAATGAGAAAGTGTCAAAGAAAATTTATTTACAGCTGTAATGTAATATTACCTAATTAAACCTGCATTTATCATGACCAGCTTAACCTCACCTGACCTAACCTGATGTGTCAGTGGATGTGCATGCCTGTAACCTGATCTAACCTAATTTTTTAATAAAGGGTTAGAGCATGAATCCGGTTTCTTTATTTATTATTTATTATTTATTATATTATTATTATTTATTATTATTTATTATTTTATATGTATGTACATATATATCCACTCCTAGCATAATGTAATCTAACGTGATCTAATCTAAACTGTAAGAGGACATGCAAATCTATACCTTACCTAACCTAACTTAAGATTAGTGATAGAAACAGCATTTGGAGATGGTGCTGAGAGGAACATCTGGACATGATGAGAGCTCAAGAAACTCCTTTGTGTACTCATCTCTGGATGGAACTTCTTAGAATGTATCTCCTGAATGCTTCCCCACAGATGTTGAACGTTAAATGTGAACAGTAAGTAGTATCTTGGAAAAGTCCATCAAAATTCAACAGGGAACCATTTCTTTCATATGATCATCCTTTAGATCGTAAAACAGCAAGTAAATTACACCCTGGTTCTCCCCATGGGACAATTATTAATATAGAGCTTCTACTTGGATATATAAAAGCTACTGTGACATGAGAATGAGAACATGAATATGTTATTGCTGCTCTTCCATATACAGTTATGATATACAGCCTTTTATAGTCTGGGAAGAACATACATTATGTTACTTAAAAGCAAAATGGTGAGAACTTCAGGATCTAACAGAGATAAATGGAGGAAATTTTGAGATAAGGAAGTTCAGTGGTTGTTTTCCCAGCACTTTTAGAGAAGAGGGATGTGATGGGTTGGGTACGTAGCAAAAGTAAGAAGATCAATACCATTTTTGGACAGAGAGACCTTGTTAAGAGTGACCATACTGTGCATGTATGAGGGTCAGTGAAAAAGTTCCTGGAATAGTGGTATAGCACTCTAATGGTAGGACATACGGCAACGCTTACCTAATCACCTTCATAGTAGGACCCTTGCGCACACACACACTTGCTCCATCAATCGTGCCATTGTTGGAAGCAGCGGTGGAAGGCTTCGTTTGGAATCTTCCAGAGCTCAGCTGTTGCATTCGATTTGATGTCCTCCATGGTTGTGAAATGTGGCCCCTTGAGGCCCATTTTTGGAGTAGAGAACAGTCAGAAGTCACTCGGAGTGAGATCTGGAGAGTACGGTGGTTGAGTGATGACAGGAATGTTTTTCTCAGCAAGAAATTGCTGCACAACAAGCGATGTGTTCGGTGCATTATCGTGCCACTTGTCACGCCGCTTCCTCCAAGCTGCATCGCGCAACCTCTGCAAAACTTGCACGTAGAAATGGCCAGTAACAGTCTGTCCAGGCAATACGAACTCATGGTGCACCAAACTGTCGATGTCAAAGAATGCAATGAGCGTCACTTTGTCTTTGGATCTGACGAGGTGTGATTTTTTTGGCCGGGGAGACGACCCTGTGTGCCACTCCAATGACTGCATCTTCGTATCAAGGTCGTAGGTGAACACCAGTGACGACCTTTTTGAGAAACATCGTGTCCTGCGTACTTTTGTCAAACAGATTGCCAGCGACCATCATGCGACATTCCATCTGATCCATGGTTAGCTGCCTCGGAACAGACTTTGCACTGATGCGTCTCATCTTCAAATCATCGGACAAAATGACATGACTGGATCCGTGGGAGATACCATCTTCTTGCTCCAACTCTGCGATGGTCATTCTTCAATCACATGGAATCAGTTTTTGCACTTTTCCAATCATTTCTTTGGTTCTGGATGTTGAAGGTCTCCTGGTGCACTGGTCATCTTCTAACGTCTCCTGCCCATTCTTAAACCGGGAAAACCAGTCGTAAACTGCAGATTTCTTTATTGCAGTATCACCGTGAACTTGATGCAGTGCTGATTGTGTCTCTGAAGCAGATTTTCCCAATTTGCACGTGAACCTGATGCTCACACGCTGTTCAAACTGCAACATTGCGCCAAATGACCAACGCTCATGTCTAATTCAAACGGAACAATAATGACACTGCACACTGAAACCTGTCCAGACCTGTTGCGCCTGCAGGTAGACATGCTGAGCTCCCCACCACAACAGTGTGTGTGCTATCTTATCGCTCGTTCTCCGTCTGCAGGGGAATTCCAGGAACTTTTTGACTGCCCTGCATATGTCACTCTGTATTAAAAGTGAATGAGATCCAAGTAGAAGTGGGCATACAATTTGTCCAGATAATTTTCTTTAGTAGCATCAGAAATTGTTAAGACCATGGTCTTGTTTATGATTTTATGTAGTTCAGTAGATAGGCACCAACATCATAAAGGGTCACAGTATTTGTGTGAGGACCCCTGTCTCCTGTGTTGTGCCACCATGTAGTTTGATATTCACCGTTGTTTCAGAGGAATGTCGTTAAATGTTTACCAGACTGCATGGTGTGATATTCTTATCACTGCCATCAGAGCCTCAGAATCTCCCATCCTGCCACTGTCTTCTGAACTGAAGATGCAGGCAGCATTTTCCTCTGAAACTATAGTAACCGTCTGCCAGACTACACAGCAGCACGTTCCACAAGACCATGCTTTTAATATTTGTTGTTGTGATGACCTCAGATCTCATCATGGATATCACCAGTTATGTTTATTTCCACCAGATCCATGTGAACTTCCTCTCTGTGAAATTTCATTGGCGTGTGACAACCTACTGTGCGATGGTCATGGACGCCCACCAAACCCCGTGTTGGTAGTTCATGTGTACTTTGCTACTGATGCAGTCTGGATCAAGTATGCCAGAACTGAGGTGGTGGAGGTAAGTTTCATAATTATGGAACTGAGTTCTGATGCTGCATTTGTATGTATGAGCTACGCTTCCTCATCAAATAAACTAACTACCTCTAGACTGGTGGACAGTTGGGCTTTGAATTTGTATTTATATTGTCACGATATTATGGAGTGACTATAGAGGGGTTTTGGATTGGTAATCAGGTTTATTGCACACTTATAAAATTCATTACTTCACTTCAAAAATCACTATTGGACACTCTAGGTCTTCTCAGTCTGTTGCAGTCTTCAGCAGCTGTTGCTTGATACTGGCTTCCAACAATGGATGGTCACCTTACTCTGGGTTCCTGAACTGTCCCCATGCTTCAGCTGCCAGCTTCTAACAGCAACAGCTCACAACAACTGAACTCCAGCGCTTATCTAATTCACTCACATACCAACTCACTCCCCTACATTAACTCCAAGGCTTGCGGCCATCTCACACCTACCTCCTACTGTTCTCACAGTTGTCTCAGGACTCTCCTCTAATGGCTGCTAGACCTCATTATATAGCCTCAGCACAGACGGCACAGAGAACATGCTTTCAACAGTTCTTCTGTTTTTGCATCACTTTGCCATTGCCAGGACTGCGGAGAGAACACCGCTTTGCAGTTACTCCATTGATGCATGTTATGAATCTGTTTCCTAGCAATGAACATGTTTGCAGAGCTGTTCCATAGCAATGGTTGTCTTTGCTGGCTTGACAGTTCTTGCCTTGAACAAATATGTCTCAGTATATCCACATTCACTGCTTTCTGGATCACACAACTTCCTGTTCAGCGGGATCTTATCCTGAGAGTAAAGATGGCTGGAGCATGAAGTTGACCACTGCATTATGCAAGTGCATTTAAGAATGGCTGTACCTTCATCTCCACAACCCATGGGTCTTCCATTGTGATGTTTATAGATACAGAAATAACTTTTTGACACCTGATGCAGTGATTTGGAATTGGGCACCATAAAGAGTCTTAAGGGGTAGGTGAGATATGTTTTCATACATTGTCAGATGCAGTAGTCTGAAAGGTCATACAAGAGGTAATGACAACTTGTTTTTTGTGCATAGAATAAATATAAAGTGCGTTTAAATTTAAGAAGTCTCTGTAAATTGTCATTTTTATAATGCACAGTAACGTGTAATTTTAGATAAAAATGAAGTTGCCTTTGCAGAGGTGCACATGAAGTCACACTCACTGAGATTGAAGGTGTACATCAACTGAAAAACGTTTAGAAATACTGTTCTGCCATATATGTAAGAATGTGGCTCTCTGGTTTCGTGTTTCTGTGTTCTTATGGAGAACACGCAAAGGTGTGAAATGTACCCCATTCTTTTGCCAATATGTATGGTAGCAGTGGCTGTTAAAGCGATACGCATATAAAGGACACGAACCAAATTGGTTCTAAATTTTAACAAAGTTTTTTTAAACCATACTTGTAAATAATCTAATTATAATAAATTATAAATATTTTAATATATTCATACACATCGCTGTAGTTGTTAAGGGTTCACATTTTATGTTTATGACATTGTAATGATATTGTACGTATGTATTGATCTTGACCAACCACATTGTAATAGTAGTTTCCGCATGTATTGAAATATCCTTCTGAAGATGGTCTCTCAGAGCGAAACATGACAAAGATGAAAGATTGAAAAGGAGGAGGGGGAAACATTTATCAATCACACTGGACAGAGTTGATAACCTTTTATAATATTGCTAGTGTGACAGACCAGTATGAACCAAATCAAATGATATGCAAGCATTGCATTCTGCTTTTTTTGGATGTGGTTCAAATGCTCATTGCCAGCTATTTATTTTAACTGGTAGCTCAGTCAGTATAGTGATGGTTTATGGGCTGAATGGCCAAGAGAACAACATCCAGACCAGCACTGGGGCCCATTCAGCCTCTTATTTAGGGAGAACCGGGGGCTCTTTCCCTGAGTGTAAAGTGGTTGTGGTGTGAAGCTGACCACTCACCTGCACCTAGTGCCAACTTTAATAATACACGGGTACATACTTCCACCCCATACATCTTTATGTGTTCATTTTGTGGTGCCTATAAAATTAAGCAAAGGACACCCTTTTTATTACCTTGTATGAGTAAATTTTGCCGGTCACGGTAGCCGAGCGGTCTGAGGCATGCGCTGTCTTTGCTCTCTCGGAAGCCGGGATCGTGGGTTCGAATCCCACTCAGGGCATTGATGTTTGTGTTCGTTTTTCTGTGTTTGTCTACAGGTAGAGGCCTTGCGACGAGCTGATCACTCGCTCAAGGAGTCCTACCGTATGTGTAAGATCTAGTACACCGAAGTGAAACAGAGAGTTTCGTGGAGGTAGGCCTAGGCCCAGATTGGGTTTGTAGTGCCACGGGGGGGTGGAAGTAAATTTTAATTTCTTAATTTGAGGGTTATATTATCTGTCAAGTTTTTAGCTACTGTTGTGATATTGACAAGAGATGCAACCATGTTCTGGCAAAGATATTTCTACTTTTTCAATAATTTGCATGTGTACATACATGGTGTGTCCAGCATCCATTAGGACTCGTTTTTTTAATTTTGCCCTGCAATGCCATCTGTTAGTGAGTTGTGGCATTAAGATTCTTGAAGTTTCAGCTGTGGCTGTCTATAATTTCAAAGCGCAAGCATCGCTTCATCATGTGTTCTGACCTTGAATGTAACAGTACTGTTCTGACACTTGTTGGAAATGGCGGTTGAACAGAGAGCCAACATCAGATTTTGTGTGAAGTTAAGCAAAACAGCCAGAGAAGCATATGAAATGATGAAGTGTGTACGGTAGTGATATACGGTAGTTTGAGTCACTCAAACATTTTTCAATGGTATGCTGTATTTCATGATGGCAGGGAGGACACTGAAGACACTCCATGTGCATCAAAGCCGAGAACAAGTTGCACTGAAGAAAATGTAAAAAAAGTGACCGAAATCCTTGCATCAGACAGATCTGTTTCTGCAAGATTCATAAAGACGCTTTTGGGAATACCAAAAGTACTGTGTATCAAATTTTGACCAAGGATTTTGGCAAATGGAAGGAAGATCTGTGCACAATTTGTGCCACACGCACTGTCAGGTGATCAAAAACATGCCAGAGTGGAACAGTGCAAAGACATGTTACGGTTGGCCCAAAGTGATACAGAATTTACAAAATCGATTGTTACTGGTGATGAGACATGGTGTTTTCAATATGCGCCTCTCACAAAGCGGCAGAGTGCAGCTTGGTTGAGTCCAAAGAAGCCGAAACAAAAGAAAGTGTGCATGCAAAGGAATCATTCACAAGGAATTTCTGCCAGGTCAAACAGTGATTTCTGATTATTATCTCAGAGTCCTCAATCGTTTGTGGGCGAAAATTTTTCAAATTTGACGTGAATATTGAGAGCAAGGTTCCTGGTCGCTCCTCCACAACAATGCCCCACCCCACAAATCAAAGATCGTGCATGATTGTTTGACCAGAGAAAGGATCACAGTCCTTGATCATCCTCTGTATTCGCCAGATTTGGCTCCAGCAGATTTCTGGTTGTTCCTAAAAGTTAAGTTGGTGATGAAAGGAGACCATCACGACACCATCCAGGACATCCAAAGGGAATGTACCACAGTTTTAAATGCGATTCCACAAGAGACTGTTTTCGAAAACTTTTCAATCGATTCCAGTGATGTACTGATTCAGAAGACTATTTTGAATAAAAAGAGTGAAATTTTGAAAATAATTCACATCTTCTATTTTTAATGAACACAATCCTAACAGAACCTGGACACACTGTGTATTTACTTGGATGGTATTGTCTGTGATTTTCAACCTAGCATCAAATTTCAGTGATATGTTTTGTACTGTCAGAATGGATCAGCTTTGACGTGCATGCACATTCTAAAGAGATGTGATGATCGTGGTTTTAATCCCACAGAAGAGCAGTAATCCAGGCTTCCTGAACACGGTAACGTTCCGAGCCAGTGATGGTCTGAATGGTGAGACACGTGTTCGACTTACAGCGTATGATGTGCGTGAACATGTGTCTCAAACAGCTACACCTATTGGATCCTCTGTAGTAACATTAGGTGCAGTCCTGGAAACAGACCGACTCCGTATCCCTCTACTGTCCCCTGCTGGCACCACTGTTGGTTTTCTGACCATGACAGTGTGGAAATTGGAACCTGAGGATAAGGGTGGCAGCACTGAGTCTACTCCATGCAGAAGTGCACCTGATCATGACGTAGCTGTGGTAAGTAATAAATAGTGTATTTCTCTTTGGTTGATAATACAGGGTGGGGCACAGAAACTTCCTTTTTTTGAAGGTGAATAAAAGAAAAATTATTGCTGATAGACAAAATTTATATTTAGCTAATGAAAGAACATACTTTAAAGTTTTAAATCATGTAGTTTTAAACAAAATATCTTGAGTGTGGTGGCCACTGTTCTCTATGCACTGATGCAACCGTTTTCTGAAGTTCCCCTCTGCATGTTCCAAGATGTACACTGGAATTTGGGCTACTTCCTGCTGAATAACATTCTTCAGCTGAAGCAAGTTTGTGGCGCGATGTTTAAAAACCTCTGCCTTGAGGTGTCCCCATAAAAAAAAATCACAGTGCATTAGATCAGGTGAGTGCGCTGCCCATGGGATGTCACCTCGAAGCGAGATGAGCCGTCCAGGGAAGTTTGCCCTCAAAACTGTCATTGAAGCTCGGGCTGTGTGGGCCGTGGCACCATCCTGTTGGAACCACACATTTCCTAGATGCATTTCCTCAAAAGCTGGTTCGAAAAAGTTTTTAATTATATCCACATACCATTGTGAATTGACAGTAACTGCATGATTGTCTTCTTCAAAAAAATAAGGGCCAATAACTCCAACTCTCGACAGCGCACACCATACTGTCACCTTATCACTGTGAAGTGGCCTCTCATGGAGCTCTCTGGGATTGTTACCACTCCAATAGCGCATATTCCGCTTGTTGACATATCCGCATAGGTGAAAATGTGCCTCATCACTAAAGAAAACAAGTGTGTTAGGGGGTAAAGTTCCCAATAACATTTCACATGCCGTTATTCTGAAAATCACGTGGTGACAATTCTTGCACAACAACCCTCTTATAGGGATGGAAATGAAGATGTTCGTGAAGAATTTGGTGCATTGAACAATTGGATATGTCTAGGACGACTGCATGTTTGCCAGCGGATCGTCTTGGAGATCTCAAAATCGACTGTCGAACTGCCTTCACATTTTCTGGCGTTGTAACGGTCCGTTGTCATCTTAATGATTTTTTCACCACACTCTCAGTTGTCCTAAAGTTCTCTACCCACAAAACAATTGATTTCCGGTCAGGAACCGGACCTCTGGGCTTAATTCCGAAATGAATACGGAACACACGCTGCACCGCTATGTAGGAATGGTTGTTTGAAAAATAGGCTTCGACAGCAAACACACGCTGCTGACTCGCCCACTTCATGTTTCCTACTGAGGGGTATTAGACAGAAACTTCTGCGACTGCTGTGTTCGCCGAGCCTATCCCCACTTTTCTGTGACCTCCCCTCCCTTCACAATGCGTCTTCACAAAAAGGAAGTTTCTGCGCCCCACCCCGTATTTTATCTAAAACAAACTTCTCTGAAATGTAAAGGGGACTTGTGGATGAGGAGATTTTTGTTTATTCCATTTCAGAATTCTCTGTAGGATGTTCTACAACCCTACATAGCACCCATTAATTAATTTTGCCCTATCTGTATGCATGGAACAACCGAAGAGCTTGTGAATAGATTTGTATGAAATTTTATACTGAGGAGTAGTATTAAAATTTGTTGACACATTATAGTTTTAGTTATATACACAATACCAGAAACTTTACATGAAGGCTTACATGCATTTCTGTGGGTATCTTCACAGTAAAAGTAAATACTATGCCTGTAACAGGCCATGGGGACCCATAGCATTGTGAGACATTGAGGCTCCCACATTTTCTAAACAGATGGCTCAGATGGCAGTGAGGTTGTCAGCCTTACGTGCCAGCTGCCCCTTTACCACCAGGAAGATTCCTGGTACTCATTTTTGTTAGAGGCTGAGTCAGCCCTGGGGCCATAGTGTGGCTGGAAGGATTAGGTCAATTGCAAAATCCATTGCTCTCATCGGGAATCAAACCCATGGGCTTCCAGCTTGTAGCATAATGCCTCAACCTGCTACACTACCATGTGCTCCTGTCTTCACAGTATTCACTCACATATTTAAGAGAGTGAAAAATGCTTTGAACAAACTGTAGAGAAAAGTGAAATATTTTATGACCAAGACACTTTTTCCATAAGCCTTGCAGTCTGAGAGAAAGTTAAACTAAAGTGATGCTGCACAGATGATTTCCTCTGATGTGTTACTGTGCAGTTTGGTATATAAATTCATTCATTCATCAGTAATCTGTCTGATGACAGGTCCACAGCCTCTTCCAAAACAGTTTCTCCACTTAATGCGATCTTCTGTTTTTGGAAAGAGACTATCCAGGAACAGTGATAATGTGGTAGTTTTTCCATTTGCTTTCCACATCGCAGTACAGCAGACGTTCAAACCACTCTGGTCACACCTGTTGCTATACGAACTTGAACCATCTCGAGCATCATTTGCTCTGTGCTTCAAGTCGCTGCTGATGACGCTGCTTCCGGCATCAGTTTTTGGTGTCTCTCTTCGTCTGATGCCTACCCTTTGACCTGTCCAGCAAGGGAGGCCCTGCCAGTAGCTACGCCACCGCTGGTATAGCTCTCAGGGTCCTTGGCATACTCAAACCCCCTCACCACGATAAGGTGGAGATACCAACGAGGGGGGTATATAAATACCAAGAGTTTAGAGACAGTTGTGGCAACTGTCCATCTGCTTATTCCCTGAAGGTAGAGAAAATGGATTCTTTTGAAATTTTGGTACCTGTGTACCAGACTTCATGGCGTCAGGTTGAAGAAGACCATAATCTTGATGATCACTGCCATGAGAACCTCAAATCTCAAAATCAGTTTGTTCTACAAAGTGTTGTAGGCGAATTAGAATATCATGCCAATGTTTGTAACTTGCAGATTTGCTCTCACCGGAGGTCTCAATCTCTGCCTCCTCGACTGGGCACCAAGCTGAAACTTCCACACCAGGGCCAACTGCGCCTTCTGTTTGCCAACCCCCATATGCATACGTACTGCTTCCACTCTGGTCTTGGTGGTGACATCTATGTTCATGAGGTCATGGCAGAAAGCAGACTGTGTTTCCTGTTTCCACAGCAGCTGTTGTGAGTATTTACTGGTTTGAAGGCATTATTTACTGCATAATTTAAATTGGAGCATACTACAGTGTTTTGATAACAAAGATAGTTTATATATGTTTCTGTAAAGCAACTTTTAATATATCAAATGTAGGTTGCATGATTTGCCATCATGAGACGTTTTTACATGACTGACTCTCAATTAAAATTATTGAATCACATGTATATTCATACAGTAGTGCCCATTATCCAAATTTATTTATCGTGTTTTGATGGTGTCTGTATTATGTTTGTGCATCGATGATGTGGGTTGCAGACTTCTATAGAATAATAATGGTAATGTTTGAAATTATGATGACATAATGTGCCAATAGAGTACTGCACATGGTGGGTGGAACTAATGCTGATTGCGTCAGTAGGTGGCTCTGTCATCAGGTGTTGTCATTTTCATGTACTTATTTGGAAGAACATCTTGAAACTCCTCCTTCCCCCTTTACCAAAGCAGATTGCTCTGGTGGTAATGATCTAGAATTGTACTTGGGAGGTGTTTGTTTTGAATCTCATCCATGACATGAGCTATCCTTAACAGGTGTTTTGTGGTTTTTCTCAGTCCCTCCAGGCAAATGTCAGGATAGTACCTCAACCAGGCCATGACTGCCTCCTTCCATATCCTTTCCTGTTCATTATTAATTAGCCATCCTACCATTCAGTGCTGTATGATCAAGATGCTGGCAGCATTGTAATGTAACTCTCAAAAGAACCTGTGCTTTCTATTTTTTTGATACTGGGTACTGTGATTAAAATGTAAGGGAAGTAAGGGAACCCTGGGTTCCTGAATTATCCCCATGGCTCATCTACCAGCTTCTAATAGCAACAGCTTACAACTGACCTGCAGTTCTCTGATTAAGTCACCAACCATCTCTTCACTTCCCTGCACTGCACTAACTAACTGAACTGAACTCGACTGGCCAAGTCATATGGCCCTGCAATGGACCACGTAGAAAACATTGCTTCCAACGGTACTTCCCTTGTTGCATGCAGGTCACTGCCTAGCAGTGGCTGTTGCTTTTTTTTTTTTTTTTTTTTTTTTTTTTTTTTTTTTTTTTTTTTTTTTTTTTTTTTTTTGTTGTTACCTAGCAATGGGTCCATAATCTTGTAACACCCAGTCCTTGGGTTATAAGAAGAAGAAGATTAAATTCTGTAACTTTCATTTCAGATATTTTTCAGCACTGTGAATATTTTGGTGGTTAGATGCAGGCTTCTCACTGCATAGGCCTGTGTTCTTCGTCGGGTGTCTTCACATGAAGTTTGTCATTGGCAGAGTGGCCACCTCTGACAGTGTCTTAAGATGCGTTATGTTTACAGAGCTCTGTGGATCCAGGAAGAGAAGGAGCTGCTGCAAGAAGTGGCAGGAATGGGCGAGCTGCATGAACCATGGCACACACGCCAGGTGGAACTGCTGGATCGACACCTCCATCTTCTCCACCTGTACTCACAAGCAAAAGAAAACCTGGAAGCACATAAAGGTATGAGCAGCTGTTGTATTGGTTCAGGTGAAAGCACTGGCATTTAAAAAAAAGCATTAAAAGTTCAGATTTGACATACTTCTTGATTTATAGATGAAATCCTCCTTCTCCCCCCCACACATCAGACATATTGGGCCTATTATAGATATTACTAACAAATGCTGCACATGAGTTGGATTTAAGGCTTTCACATTGGAGACTATGAAGAATGCTGTCTTCTGGGATGTGATGCTGTGTGGTCCAGTAGAAGCTCACTGATGTCATGGAGGATTGTACTGTCTTCATCTGTTTGATTCTTTGCTTGTCTTACTGTTTGACCCTGAAGATGGAGGCTGTACATTCCTTGAAAATATCAGTGAACTTCCACTGTAGTATACAGTATCACATCCCAAACAACAGTGCTCTTCATTGCAATGGTTCTGAACTGGGGGCTAGGTGTACCCTCAGAACATGTGTGAGATATGTTCATCCTTTGTTGGATACAGGCCAAAAGGGTGTGAAAACCATTGAAGACTTTTTCTGATGGTGGAGTAATTAAAGTTTGTTATATTGAAAAGGTCTCTATGTCCCATTGTGTTTATAATGCATAATAATAGCTGATTTGCGGTACACATTATTTTGTCACCGAAAAGAGATGTACAGAGTTTCACTCTTAGACCATGATGTCAGGCAGGTGGTATGTCAATATGTGTTACTACAATGTTGTCAACTATAAATCAAGTAAGATGGCACCAGTGAATATGTTAAATTACTTGTTTTCTTCTTACAGGAACTTACTTTAAACCAAGTTCTCGTAAAGGTGATCGAATGTTAGAGTTTGCTCCAGTAAATCTGCATTTGCAACGGATGTGGGTTCAGAATGACACACTAAGGAAAAGTGGGTTTTATGATATTATTACTGTGGGAGCCTTCACAGCGCACTCTCACAAGTCGAAGAACGGGGGCCTTATAAAGTAAGCCATGTTAGTTGCTGCTGCAAATGAAGTTTGGCAGAAACCTGTATTTTTAAGTTTGTTCTGTAACTGAAATATTTCCTGACTGCAGACTGCTGCAGCAGCTGAAGGAATCACCGTCAAGAACAAACGAAACCCTGCAAGGGCCGAGCAAGATAAGAATGGCGCATGATGCAATACAAGTGAGTGGCAAACAGCAGTTTTGAAAGTTTATGTCTTGTTTAAAGTCACGTAACAGTATGCACATTTCATGAAACTTACTTGAGCAATGTCAGACCTGTCACTGTTTTTTGTGTTCATTGTATAGGCTTCATGTAAATCACTGTTTCACTCCCTCTCCCCCATCCTCCCTGTTCTGAGGACTGTGTGCAAGGTGATTAGAAAAATCTTCCCATGTCATAATATTGTAGTGTGTACAGTCATTGCTATTCAATGACCATGAAATAAGCTATTAAACAAAGGTATTATGCAACCCCTTTCTAGACAACAGATTGGTAAACACATTCCCATGGCAACGAATACGCACACAACAATAGAGTTACTGTTGGAAACTGTTTATTAGTCAGTGCATGCCAAGGGAGTTATAAGGAAGACAATTGGTGTGACCCAGTCTGCTGTAAATTGAGTTCTGCAAGGGAGTCTGAGAAGATTGGTGCCATAACTCAGTTGAGGTAATTTAAATGCTAGACCTGCCTGCAAAATTTTGCTGTGAGAATAGTGTTTTAGGTCTCAAAACATGAAATGGATTTTGATGAAATTTGGTATTTGGGTAAGGGGGGATCTGTGGTAATTTCTATTAACTACAGCCAGACTAAACAGTATTACATCCCAAAAAATGATGCTTTTCATAAATGCCTCCATCTTTATTGTTTTTCCTGCAAGCAGTTCGTTGTACAAACATTTTATATATGACTTGAAATGCAGATCTTATTAATAGCACCTTTGGGTAAGCTGTATTTTTAATGAGCTACAAGGAGACACACTTTCTGACTGTGAAGTGTGAAGTGTGCAGTGTGCAATGTGATTACAGTAGAGCCCCCATTTAATATTCGTCAGTTTAAGGTTTGGTTGATTGGTCGGTTTCCAATGGCTGCATTTGGGATCATTTAACCCACCTTGCTTCCCAATAGAGAGCACTCAAGTTCTTGCTTTGTTGCATCTCCTTGTTAAGATTAGGGCATTGAAGAAGGTGTTCCTTTCCCATAGATGATCCTGGCAAGTTGCATTGTGTACATTCTTCCATGTTATATATTCCTATCTTACAAAGATGTGCTGCAAGGTAGTCATGTCCTGTATTCAATCAAAAATTTTCAACAGCTTCTTTTCTGGGTTTCTTGCTGTTAATTTCCCAAAGTTTTCCTATTTCTGACCATTTCTTGTTGTATGGTTCTTTGTTGATGGTATGGAGTATTTCTTTACTTGTTTTAGTTTTTATTTTGTTAGCTAGCATGTGGTCACTGAAGATTTTTATTTTGGCAATGCAGTCTTGTGCTCTTCTTTGCCAGTTCGTCAGCAATATCGTTTCCATTGATGCTAACATGTGATGGTATCCATTGAATGTATATTATCTTTTTTTTATTTTCCAGTAGTTTTATTAGTTTTTTGATTTCAGTTATCTGTCTCATGATAGCTCTTTTGTTTGAGGATATGGCTTGTATGGCTGCTTTTGAATCCACAAGCAGAACTGCTTTATTAAGCATGTTGGGTCTGCTGATTAGTTGTTCCAATGCAAATAGTATTGCATATATTTCTGCATCGAAATTTGATTTGTTTTCGCCAACCGCTATATAGTATGTGAAAAGGGATGAGTATACTCTGGCTCCAGCATTAGCTTCTTTGTCTATCAGAGAACCATCAGTATATATATGTAGCCCTTCCAATGATGGGTATCTTTCTTCAATGATGCTTATTGTTAGTTGTTTTAATTCTTCTTGTGTGTGTTCTGCTTTCTTTATGCTTTCTTCTAAGTCAAGGTAGATATTGTAAGAACAATAATTTAGTGAATTTTGTGTGGGTACAGCATTTTCTACTTCTATTGGTATTTTTAATTTGTTGAGATAATCTGTATTGCATCTTATTATGTCTGGTTGCAATTTTAATTTTTGTTCTGGTGATATTTGTCTTACCTATGTTATCTCTGGTATGGAGATCATTTTCAAGAATGTTATTGCTGCTTGTTTTGACAGCTCCGGTTATCAGTCTTAATATATTGTTTTGCGCTTGTTCGCTTTTATGGAGTCTTGTATTATTGGCTGTTATTATCACTTCAGTTCTTGTTTTATCACTGGTTTGATATAGGTGTCATAGGTTTTATTTAGTATGTCTTGAGAACTTCCCCATGTTACTCCACTCAGGCGTTTTATCAATGTTGATTTTTGCTCTACTTTATTTGTTATTTTATCTATATGATGGTTCCAATTTAATTTGTTATCTAGCTGTAGTCCTAGATATCTTGTGTTTTCAGACTTCTGTAAGGGTTTGTTATTTATGGCCAGACCGAAATCCATTGTTTGATGTTTCAAAGAGAAGAACTGGTAATTTGTTTTGGTGGTATTTATTAGCATATTATTATCTTCTGTCCATTTTTGGAGTTTTATTAGAGCTTGGTTCATTTTATTTTCTAAGCTGGTTTGTTGCTTTCTGTTGTTTTTTGATTTGGTCCATATGACCAGATCATCTGCAAACATACATGCATTTATGCCATCAATTGTCATTAGTTGTTTTGGTAAATCATTTACATAAGTGTTATACAGTGTAGTGCTTGAGACAGCTCCTTGTGGGAGGCTTGTTTTTTGTTGGCTTGTAAGGTGAAGTGTGCTGGTTGTATTTAGTTGAGACCCACCGTTGGCTTAAGGACATTTTAAACCACTGTAACATTTTACCTTTGATGTTAATTTTCTTTAGTTTATGTATTAATTTAGTTCTTCATATTGTATCATACACACCCTTTAGATCAACAAAGACAGCTAAAGCACTCTCATTTTTGTTAAAGGAGCTTTTAATTTCTTGTGTAGCATAGGATGTTTGGTGTGCTGTGGATCGATTTAGTCTGAATCTTGCTTGTTCTTTTGTTATTAATTTTTGTTTTTCTAGGTAGAAATTTAGTCTAGTTGTAATCATTCTTTCCTGTACTTTGGCTAACATTGAAGTTCAAGGGATTGGTCTGTATGATGATATTTCTTTGTTTTTGTTGAGTTTTAAAATGGGAATGATTATAGCTTTTGTCCATTTTGGTTGGAGATTTTGGGGACAGTTCCAAATGATATTATATATTGAAAAGAGTTTTTGTAATGATTTACTTCCAGGGTGTTTTAGAAATTCAGGGCCAGGCTGTTTTTTGTTTTTGAAGTTTCTTATTGCTTCTTTTATTCTTCAAGAGTAAAATCTTTTGTAAATATTTCATCATCCTTAGAATAATTCTTCTCACTGCTTGTATCCAAGTCCAATTTGCTGGTAAAAAGATTCTTCTTCTTGCTAAATGCAGCTTTTGTCATGGCAATCCTGGATTTAATTTCACTAGTACACCTTCCATCATCTGTTAACAAGCTACCCAAATATTTAAAACATTTCACATTCTCCAGTTGGTTTGGTCTATCTTTATTGTGACTGGGGTTGGTTGTCTTGAAATTTTCATTACTTTTGTTTTTTCCACATTCATTTCCATGCCATAGCACCTTCCAATTTTTATTAGTCTATCAATCATACCCTGTAGCACAGTTTCTTCCTTAGCCATTAACACAAGGTCATCTGCATATTTCACAGTTTGAATAATTTTCCCTCCTAATTTGAAGTCTCCAAGCCCATCCAGAGCTTCCTTGGTAAGGCATTCGCTGTACAAGTTGAACAAAATTGGTGATAAACAGCATCCTTGTCAAACTCCTCTTCCAGTCTTCACACTTCTTGTCTCCCCTCTGTCCAGTCGCACTCTAACTTTCTGATCCATGTACAATTTACTAATCAATCTTCTTTCACACCAATCGATACCTGTTTCCTTTAGGATCTGCATTAATTTGGTCCACTTTATACGGTCAAATGCCTTCTGCCAGTCTATAAAGCAAGCACACAGTTCTTCATCTATCTCCAAAGTTCGTTCTGCTATAATTCTTGTCATCCCAATTGCATCCCTGGTTCCTTTTCCT